CGAGGCTATATATAGGCTCGACACAAAGGCAGTAACTTGGTGTTACTTGAAGGTTCTGCGGGTCGCGAAGCATCTTGAACGGGTCCTTCCTGAATTCGGTAGAAGGGAATTCTGTGGCAACCGAAAAGCCTAGAATTCGGTGCACTCAACCTAGTTCGGTGCATATAACTATAATAACTATAGTAAAAGCAACGAACCTAGGAAATCAAGCAAAAGCATGCAAGATAAAGTAAAGCTAAGCTGGATAATGCGTAACAAAGCAGAATCAAGCAAGTAAAGTCCAGCAAAGCCGTCGTACTCTCACACGTCCCCCCCTCAAAGCTGGGTGGCGTGAGATACACCCTGCTTGATAAGATAATCGTTGAGAGCACGGCGAGCGTTGCCCATATCAGCTTCTGCAATCCAACTGTTCTCCGACGGGTCATATCCCTTCCAGCGTATCAGGAACTCGAGCGTGTTGCCACGTCTGCATCGATGAGCGAGCACTCGTTCCACCTCGTACTCTGGTTCATCCTGTACGAGAACAGGTGGTGGTGGCGGTAGCTGTCGTCCCGTGAACTGTTGGTTGGGGTCCTTGTAGGGCTTTAGCAATTGAACATGGAAAGCGTTGTGAAGCTTCCATGTAGTAGGTAAGCGCAAGCGGAATGTTACTGGTGTCATCTGTGCCTCAACGTGAAAAGGACCACAGAAGCGAGGTCGGAGCTTGGATGGAAGGTGAGACAGGTTCAAGTTGCACATGTGAAGAAGCACCTGATCTCCAACTACTATGGTGTGATCACGTCGCTGGCGATCGGCATAATGCTTCTAGGAGTTCTGCATCGTGGTGAGACGTCGCTGAGTCTACTCCCGTAGCTGCTGCATGGTGGTGACAAAGTCATGTGCGGCTTGGACGTGTGCCAGTGTGGTTGGCTGCTATGGTGTAAGTGGTTCCCGTCCGTAACACAGGAAGAAAGGAGTTTTCCTTGTGGCCGCATGCGAAGCGTTGTTGTAAGCGAAATCAAGATTCGGTAACTGTAGATCCCAGTGGCTGATGTCATCTTTGCAAGCTGTGTGCAGTAACTGTTCAACCACCAGATTGAGTCGCTCATTCTGTCCGCCAGTCTGGGGGTGGTACGCTGAAGACATCTCAAGCTTTGTCCCCAACAATCCCATGAGTTCCCTCCAGAACTTATTGGTGAATTTTAGGTCTTTGTCTGAGATGAGCATAGCGGGGATGCCGTGGATGGTGATGATGTGGTCGAAGAAGAGGCGAGCAGTTGCTTCAGCTGTACTCGTGGCGTTGGTCGGGATGAAGTGTCCCATTTTGGAGAACTGATCGATCACCACGAGTATAGCGTCATGCCCTCGTGAGGTCGAAGGAAGTCCGGTGATGAAGTCGAGGCTAACAACTTGCCATGGCTGTTCCGGTATGGGTAGAGGCTGAAGTAACCCTGCTTTTTTCTGCTTGTTACTCTTCATTTGTTGGCACGTGTCGCAAGAGGTGACAAATTGCTGCACGTCTGCTGCCATCCCGGGCCAGTAGTAATACTTTGCTATCACTGCTAACGTCTTGTTGCTCCCGAAATGTCCCGTGTATGCTACGTCGTGAAACTCCTCCTGTAGGATTTGTCGGAGCGGGGCATAGTTCGGTACCCAAATCTTTCGTGTTCCCTTTCTTACAACTAAGTTCTTCTACCACTGTAACAACCTTTGTTTTTCTGCTGTAGTGATCTCTGCGTCCACGGAGTACCCATGTTGGAATATACCCTTGAGTAGATGGTTCATCCCATCGAGGTGGATGCCTGCTACGTGACCGGGGCGGCTCAACGCGTCTACTTTGTTGTGTAGCCCGGGCTTGTAGACGATGTAATAGTGGAAGAAGGTCTCCAAAAAGTCCACCCACCGCACCTGTCATCGTGAGAGCGTCGACTGCGACTTCAGGTATTTGAGGATGCAGTGGTCAGTGTAATCTATAGTCTTGGCTCCCTCTAGGTAACACCTCTACGCCTTGAAGGCTGTGGCTATCGCTAAGGCTTCCTTGTCATGGATTGGGTAATCCAGTTCTTCTCCGTGTAGCTTCTTACTGAGGTAGACGATGGGCTGCAAACAGCGTCCGTGATCCTGCAGAAGTACTGCTCCGATTGCCTGGTCACTAGCGTTTGCGTCCATCACGTAGTCTCTGTCTGGATCTGGTAGGAAGAGTACTGGCGGTATGGGGTATTTGTTCTTGATTGTCTATTTGTTCAGTGCCCTGTAGTTGATGCACATCCGTAAACTACCGTCTGGCTTAGGTGTGAAGAGAACTGGTGCACCGTAGGGAGAGGTTGATGAGCGGATCAGTTTTATGTCCAATAATCACTATACTTGCTTCTTCATGTCTGTCAGTTCTGTCATACTCAGTCGGTATGGTGCACGTGAGACAGGTTTCGCACTTGGTTCCTCCACGATCTCGTGATCGTGGGTGCGCGCTAGAGGTACTCATGCATGTAGATCGTCTGGCATGATGGCTTTGTACTGCTCCAACACTTCCTGTACTGCTGGAGGTAACTCCGTGTTCGGCTTTTCGTCCTCAGTTGCTGCCATAACCAGTGCTAAGTAACCCGTGTTACTCTATGTTCACTACCGTTTGAACCGCGCCAGTGTTGTTTCAGGAACGTTCCCTGTATTGTAGATGCACGCCTTCCAGTTGACCTAGTCGATCTCGGGGTTGAACTGCTTCAGAGAATCATGCCCCAAGATGAAATCCAATCCTTTGATGTCCGTGATTGGCAACGTCGGCTTCCACCTTAACGCTCCTATCTACAGCTGCAGTGTTGAGTCACCGTGGATGGGAAGCTTTGTACCGGGTCTCCTAAAAGGACTCTCCGATTTTCTCTAGCATCCCGCAGTCGCACACTGAATGGGATGCACCACTGTCTACCAGGGCGTGGAGGCGTCGCCCGTTGCAGATCACCTTGAGTACTAGTGGTTGTGGCTGCTCCGAGTAGCTGTAGATAGTGTTGCTTATATGATCATAGGGTAGATTAAATGCATCATCCCTTGGTCATGCGCTCGAAGTTGCTGTCTCAATATCAGGTATCACCTGAGTATGGTTAGAAGGATATATCTGAGGCTGGTACATCTTCTCCTAAGCCCCGAACCTTCCCCTAAACCTTTGCAGCTGTGTAGGCTTCATCTGTGGGGAACAGGGAGCCTTTAAACAGTGCTGCTGGGAGAGAATATTAGCTCCTCGAAACGCTCGACCCATATTAGCGCTCCGGAGTAGGGTCCCCATATTACCCGGTACCGGTTTAATTTATGACTCTCCCTTGAAACCCACAAGAAGTAATATTCTTACTTGTCGGGGTGTACGGCTGGAGTTTCCCGGTCGGTGCAGGGTCTTGTTTCGCGGATCCTCCTTTAGTCTCGGCGATTTCCCCTGGTGCCGGCTGGTCGTGACGTTTTTGTCAGACTTATATGACTTAGCCTATGAAGGCTGTAGTGGGGTAGCACATATGGGGTACAATATTTCTAGGGTTTGTACTTGTACCCGACCCTTGCACTAGTCAACCATTCCTTGTTTCTTAACATGGTATCGAGCAGGTTCCCTAGTGGGAACGCTTCCTAGGGCTCACCATGATTTTTTTCCTGCCCGGAGCGCGCTTCGCTCCTGCCCGAGTCGCGCCCCGTGTGCCCTCCCTACCGTCGCGCCCTCTCACGGCCCCTTACGGCCCCTTCGCGTCGCCCTTAGCGGCCCCTCTCACGGCCCCTCGCACCGCCCTTACGGCCCCTCGCGCCGCCCTTACGGCCCCTCGCGCCGCCCTTACGGCCCCTTACGGCCCCTCGCGCCGCCCGTCGGCCCCTCGCGCCGCCCTTAGCGGCCCCTTATGGCCCCTCGCGCCGCCCTTAAGGCCCCTTGCGCCACCCTTACGGCCCCTCGCGCCACCCGTCGGCCCCTCGCGCCGCCCTTAGCGGCCCCTTACGGCCCCTCGCGCCGCCCTTACGGCCCCTCGCGCGGCCCCTTACGGCCCCTCGCGCGGCCCCTTACGGCCCCTCGCGCCGCCCTTACGGCCCCTTACGGCCCCTCTCGCCGCCCGTCGGCCCCCCCCACTCTCGCCGCCCTTCGCGGCCCCTCGCGGCCTCTAGCGGCCCTGTCACCGCCCTTCGCGGCCCGCCGTCGCCGCCCCTGCAGTAGCAGCCGCCGCAGTCCCTACAGCAGCGGCCGCCGCCATCCCTGCAGCAGCAGCCGCCGCCGTCCTTGCAGCTGCAGCCGCCGCCGTCCCTGCAGCGGAAGCCGCAGCTGCCGCAGCCGTCACCAGCAGCAGCCGCCGCCACCTCCCTTAGGGCCGCAGCCGCCGCCGCCGCTGACTGCAGCCGCCGGTGCGCCTTGGCCCGCCTCTGCGGGTGCGCCTCGGCCCTACCTGCGCACCTCGGCCCATCCCTGCCGGTGCGCCTCGGCCCTGCCCCACCACTTGCAGCTCTCTGCCCTGGTAAGAGTGTCGCCACACTGCGCTGTCACTGCTGCTACTACTGCTCCTACTGCCACTGCTGCTACTGCTGCCACTGCTCTCATGGCTACCCCTAGCGTCCTTGTCTTTGATGCTGAGGGTCGGGCTGTTGACTTTGAGGTCTGGGTCAATGATCTGCAGCTCTTCCTACAGTGCGATAGGAAAGACGGTCTGTCACTGTTCGATCTCACGTCTGGCGCCTCTCCTGCCTCTGCTTCCGATGCTGACAGCACTGTTCGCTCACAGTGAGCCACACGCGATGATGCTGCCCATCTCGCTGTGCGTAGTCACTTGCCGTCCACTGAGCGCGCGCACTTTAGTTAGTACAAGAGTGCTAAGACCTTGTACGACGCTGTCATTGCACGCTACTCTTCCCCTGCCACTGCTGCTCTTAGCCGCCTCATGCTGCCGTACCTGTTCCCTGACCTAGCCGCCTTTCCCACAGTCGCTGACCTCATTACGCACCTTCACACTAGTGACACCCGCTACCGCGCTGCGCTTCCTGCTGAGTTCTGCGCCAAGAACCCACCCCCCATGTACATCACCCTCTACTACATAGTCACCCGGCTCCCTGACTCCCTTCGTCCAGTTAGGGACCACTTCCTCTCTGTTTGCCCCACCACACTCACCGTTGACCTTCTCGAGGAGCGCCTCCTAGCAGCTGAGAAGAGTATAGTCGCCGTAGGAGCCTCTCGTGGTGACCCTTGTGCCACCTTCTTTGACGGGTGCTCCACCTCCCCCCTTCTGCCCTCTGTTGCCTCTGCTGCTGCCGTCAACTTCGTTGGAACCGAGTCGGTCGGCACTGCGTCTACTCCTAGCGGGAGATGCCGCATCGGCAAGGGCAAGGGGGGCAAGGACGCTGGAGGGGCTGACGGGGGTGGTGGAGGTGGCGGTGGAGGTGGCGGAGGGAGTGGGGGTGGCGGCGGGAGTGGTGGCGGGGGTGGGGGCTTCGGTGGCGGCGGTGGAGGCGGAGGCGGCGGCGGCGATGGCGGTGGGAGCGGAGGAGGTAGCGGTGGCGGCGGTGGCGGAGGTGGCGGCGGTGGAGGTGGAGCTGGTCGGGGTGGCTCTACGCAGCGGGGCGGCTTCGGTGGTGGTCAGCGCCAGCAGCAGCGGCGCACTCGTGAGACCCCGCCCCCCCAACAGCTTCGTGAGTGGTACGCTGCACGTCAGCGGGGCAGGGGTGCTGGTCCTTGTGCCTACGTCCTGCGTACCGGCGACCGCACTGGTGAGCCGTGCGGTGGCCCGCACACCACCCAACGCTGCTTCGGCCGCCTGACGGACGCTTGGCGTCTCCAGTTCCCTGACGCCACGAAGATCCCTCGCTGGGGCGAGCTGCTTAGGTCGGGGGTTGCTATCTTTGATCTGGATTATGATGCTATTCTTGCTGCCATGTATACTGTGCCTACTAGTGATGAGGGTGACTGTTACCTGTGTGTTCCGCCTGACCCGGGCATTGAGGCTGCTGCTCTAGGTGCTGGTGAGGCTGCTGCTCTAGGTGCTAGTGCGTCTGTTGCCCCAGGTGCTGGTGAGGCTGCTGCTCTAGGTGCCAGTGCGTCTGCTGCCCCAGGTGCTGGTGAGTCTGCTCTCTGAGGTACCACGTCGGTTCAGGCCGTACACACCTTCACCCTGGACTCGGGTGCTTCCCGCTCCTTCTTCCAAGACCGCACCACACTTACGCCGCTTAGTCAGCCAGTTGCGGTCTCCCTGGCGGACCCCTCTGGGGATCCTGTCCTTGCCCACTTCTCCACTGTCTTACCGTGTCCGGCTGCCCCCTTTGGTACCCTGTGAGGTCTCTACCTCCCCTCGTTCTCCACGAACTTGGTGAGTGGAGCTGATCTACAGGATGGGGGGGTTGACCAGTTCACTCCTACGAGTCAGCGAGTGACCCACTGTACGTGTGCTCGGACGGGCCGCCACTTGGCCACGTTTACCCGTCAGCCGGGGTCGAGCCTGTACACACTCACCAGTGGGTCTTCTCAATTTGCTGACCCTGGTTCGGTAGCTGCGTCGGGTCAGGTGTTTACTGCAGCGTCCAGGTCTGGTCCTGAGTTTGCTCCCTGCTCCTGTCGTCTCCTGACCCACAAGACTCTCCTCTGGCACCACCGCCTTGGTCACCCCTCCTTGCCTCGTCTCCGAGGCATGGCCTCCTGGTACCTTGTCTCTGGTCTCCTCCGGTCCCTCCCTCCCCTTCCTCCGGGGCCTGCCCCTACCTGCGTTCCCTGCGTCGAGGGGCGGCAGCGCGCCGCTCCTCACTCCTCTGGGTTTCCTCCGACAGAGGCTCCGCTGCAGACTCTTCACATGGACATGTGGGGCCTCGCCCGCGTCCATGGCCAGGGTCACGAGCGTTACTTCCTCTTGGTGGTTGACGACTACTCGCGTTACACCACGGTGATCCCCTTGCGCAGCAAAGGGTGACGTCACTGGGGTGTTGATCGACTGGATCCGCGCAGCTCGTCTCTAGCTCAGGAGGAGTTTCGGCTCGGACTTTCCTGTTCTGCGTCTGCACTCTGACAGAGGTGGGGAGTTTTCCTCAGGCCTTCTGGGAGCCTTCTGCCGTGCACAGGGCATCCGTTAGACGTACACGCTTCCGGACTCTCCACAGCAAAATGGGATTGCTGAGCGCCGCATTGGCATGGTCATGGACGTCGCTCGTACGTCCATGATCCATGCGGCTGCTTCCCATTTTCTGTGGCCGTTCGCGGTTCAGTACAAGGCGCATCAGATCAACCTTCAGCCCCGATTCTCCTTGCCGGAGACCTTGCGGTGGACGGGGAAGGTTGGCGATGCGTCTGCGTTTCGTGTCTGGGGATCTCGGGCGTTTGTCCGCGACTTGTCTGCGGACAAGCTGTCCCCCCGTGCTGTTCCGTGCGTCTTTCTTGGCTTCCCCCCTGACGCGCCTGGTTGGCAGTTTTACCACCCCACCTCGCGCCGTGTTCTGTCCTCCTAGGACGTCACCTTTGACGAGTCAGTTCCCTACTACCGTCTCTTCCCCTACCGCACTGCGCCCCTCCCCCCGTCGCCGCTCTTCCTTGCGCCAGGTCCACCCCCGGTAGACCCTCTCCCCCCTCAGGGTCCTGCCCCTTCAGGTGTGTCCGAGGTAGACGCAGTCGAGCCTGTCAAGGTAGCTGTTGACTCTGGTGCTGCTCGAGGTGCTGAGCCTGTGGGTGCTGAGTCTGGGGGTGCTGAGTCTGGGGGTGCTGGGCCTGGGGGTGCTGAGCCTGGGGGTGCGGAGCCTGGGGGTGCGGAGCCTTGGGGTGCTGAGCCTGGGGGTGCGGAGCCTAGGGGTGCTGAGCCTAGGGGTGCGGAGCCTGGGGGTTCTGAGCCCGGGGGTGCTTCGGGTACTTCGTCTCGGCGGGAGCTACCCTCTCCACAAGAGCTGCGCGAGTGGTTTGACAGGCGCTAGAGTCGTGCTGCTGGAGCTGGAGGTGCTGCTGTTGCTGCTGACCCTGCGGTCGGCGCTGGAGGTGCTGGAGCCACTGGTCCTGGAGGTGCTCGTACTGGCGGTACTTGAGCTGCTGGGACCGGGGGTGCTGCTGGGGCTACTGGAGTTGGTCCTGCTGATGGTACTGCTAGGGGTACTGGAGCTACTGGGGGTGCTGGTGCTGGAGGTACTGCTGGGGCTGGTGCTTCTGAGGGTGCTGGAGTTGGCGCTGCTGGAGCTGGAGGTGCTGCTAGCGCTGGTGCTCCCGCTGGGGGTCCTGGTGCTGTACCTGCTGTTTCAGGAGGCGCTGCGCGGCCACGGCCGTATTTCGTTCCGCTCCTTGAGCAGGTTCTTGGTGTCCCGCCTTCTACTGGTCCTCCTCCCTTAGAGTGTCCACAGCCTGTCTAGTCGCGGTCACAGTTAGAGCTTGCCTCCCCACTGCCAACTCCTTCTCCCTACGCTGGTCCTACTGGAGGTCTTGCTGAGCGTCGTGCGCTTGCGTCTCGTCCTGCGTCGCCTGTTCGTGCTGTTCGCACTAGTCGTCGTGTTCCGCGTCATCATCCTCCTGCGGTCCCGGGCACGCACCAGATGGCACTGCGACCTTCCACTACTCCGCAGCGTGTCCCTTTGCCGTCTCCTCCACAGACCTCTCTTCCTGCTCTTGCTGACCCGGAGTCTGACTCTCTTCGTGCTGCCAGTCCGACTGTCACGCGTCTCCTAGCTACTGATGTCACTGACCCTTCCTTTGAGTCCACTACTTCGTCTGCCTTAGTTGCTGAGATGGTCGACTTCACTGCTCGCTGTCGTCTAGACTACGCTGCGAGTCTTGTTGTTGAGTCTGCGTCTGTTTGTCCTCCGTCCGTCGGGGGTGAGTGTGCTCTTGGCACGGACGTCCTTGAGGACAGGTAGGAGGAGTTCTAGTGTTTTGCTACTGCTTTGCCTCATCTCGTGTCCACGCTGATTGCCCCTGAGGGAGACCCGGATGCACCAGACATCCCGACTCCTCAATTGTACGCTGAGGCGATCGAGGGTCCTACTCCTCTCAGCAGCAGTCAGCCATGGACGCAGAGATGGCTTCCTGGAAGTCCACAGGCACCTACGTCGACGAGGTTCCCCCACCTGGGGCGAACATCGTGAGTGGCATGTGGATTTTCAGGGTGAAGCGGCCGCCGGGTTCTCCACCTGTCTTCAAGGCGTGTTATGTGGCTCGAGGCTTCAGTCAGCGGCAGGGAGTTGACTACTTTCAGACCTTCTCTCCCACCCCGAAGATGACCACTCTTGGGGTGCTGCTGCACATAGCCGCTCAGCGCGACTACGAGCTTCACTCTCTTGACTTCAGCACTGCTTTGTTGCAGGGCAGCCTGCACGAGGAGATCTGGCTGCGCCGCCCACCTGGCTTCACTGGGTTGTTTCCTCTTGGTACCCAGTGGAGCCTCCGGCGGCCAGTCTACGGTCTCCGCCAGGTGCCCCGTGAGTGGCACGACACACTGAGGACTACACTTGCGGCTCTTGGGTTTGCTCCTTCCACTGCCGACCCATCGCTGTTTCTGCACATCGACACCTCTTTGCCGCCGTTCTACATCCTCGTGTACGTCGACGACTTGGTCTTTGCCACTGCTGACACTGCTGGACTCGCCCACGTGAAGTCGGAGCTGCAGAAGAGACACACGTGCACAGACCCGGGTGAACTGACAAGCTATCTTGGCTTGTGGATCATCGGGACAGAGCACAGCGCACCATCACCTTGACTCAGTCACACATGGTGCAGGAGGTCCTTCAGCGCTTCCGCTTCACGTACTCCTCGCCTCAGGCCACTCCTCTGTCTACGCGCCACTCGCTCCAAGCTCTGCCTTCGGATGAGTCCGTAGAGCCGAGTGGCCCGTACCCAGAGCTTGTTGGCTGCCTCATGTACCTGATGGCCTGCACACGACCTGACCTCGCATACCCTCTTAGCATTTTGGCACGCTATGTTGCTCCTGCGAGACACCTGTGAGAATAATAGGTATAGTTAGGAGCCATAGCTAGGTAAGCCCTAGCTAGGCAAAAGAAAGTTTAGGCAAAAGAGGAGTTTCACTAGCAGCTATGAGGATACATAAAGCAAACCCTAGATGGGTTGTACTCGCTATAGAGCACCCCACTACAGGCTAGATGATAACATTCTGACACACCCCCATAGCCAAAGTGGGGTGTAATCAGCACAATGAGCAGGCATAGAGCAGGATTTCACAATAGTAAGCAAAACTAGAGTTAATCACAACGGGCAAGTGATAAGGAGGAGGAACTGTGGAGGGAGAGAAGATGGTAGGCAAGGACTTAGTGGCTACCGAAGCAAGGGCGACGGACTACTGGAGTGACTGGCTCCGCGGCTATAGACGAGCGGCAGGAGCAACGGACCCACTAGCGACTGGTATAGCAGGCTCATTGGCTACCGAAGCAAGGGCGACGGACTATAGGCGCTGCAGACGACACGACAGCTACCTTCACACAATCTCCTCCAACTGCCCCACACCCTCGACACACACCCCCTGCTCAAACCCTAGCTCCACTCCCACGGCACCCCCCTTAAACCCTAAACCCCAGTCTCCCACTCATCCACCCCCCTCAGCGATAGCTGCAGCAGTGGGAGACGAAGGAGGAGGAGGAGAAGGGGACGGCGCGCACAACCGACGCCCCCACAACCACCACCCCCACAACTGCCACCCCCACACTCCTCACCCCCCAAACCCTAAAACGGGTGGGACGGGGCAGGAGCGCGGGGGACGGAGAGGGGGACGGCGCGCTAACCCCCAGGGCGCCAAAACTGACGGGCGGGAGGGGGGGGAGGGGGCGCGCGGCTCCCCGGGGTGCCGCGACGGACGGGAAGGGGGGCGCGCGCGACTCCCCAGGGCGCCGCGTCGAGCAGGGCGTTGGCCGCAGCGTGCTCCCCAGGGCGCCGCGACGAGGAGGCAGGGCGCGCCCGGGCTCCCCAGGGCGCCTCGACGAGCAGGGCGGGGGCCGCGCGTGCTCCCCAGGGCGACGCGACGAGGAGGCGGGGCGCGTGCGGGCTCCCCAGGGCGCCGCGACGAAGAAGCGGGGCGTGCGCGGGCTCCCCAGGGCACCGCGACGAGGAAGCAGGGCGCGCGCGGGCTCCCCACGGAAGGAAACCGCCGCGCGCCTCGGGGCGCACGCCGGGCAGAAAACCGCCACGCGCCCCGAGCACGCGGCAGGATGAAAAATAGCAGGTCGCGCGCCACGGGGCGCGCGACACAGAGTAGGGCAGCGGAAGCAGGTGGGCCCACAGGCCAGGAGCAGAACTGCTGTGATAGCATGTGAGAATAATAGGTATAGTCAGGAGCCATAGCTAGGTAAGCCTTAGCTAGGCAAGAGAAAGTTTAGGCAAAAGAGGAGTTTCACTAGCAGCAATGAGGATACATATAGCAAACCCTAGATGGGTTGTACTCGCTATAGAGCACCCCACTACAGGCTAGATGATAACATTCTAACAACACCGACCAGAGCACATGGCTGCAGCGAAGAGGGTGTTGCATTACTTGTGCAGTACGTCGGGCATGTGGCTAGTGCTTTGAGGGCGGCGTTCAGTGGTCCTCACAAGTCATGCAGACGCTTCTTGGGATGACGACCAGGCTACGCAGCGGTCGTCACAAGGTTACACCTTCAGCCTTGGTTCCGACTCTGTCTCGTGGCGGTCTACCCGCTCGTCTTCTGTTCTCGGCTCCAGCTGTGAGGCTGAGATCTACGCGGGGGCCATGGCTGCACAGGAGCTACGCTGGCTCACCTCCCTGCTGACCGACCTTGGAGAGCCGCCTCGTTCTCCTCCAGTTCTGTACGTAGATAACAAAGCCATGCTGGCCTTGTGTCAGGAGCACAGACTGGAGCACAGAACGAAGCACATTGCTCTTCGGTACTTCCTTGCTCGTGAGCTGCAGCAGCGTGGTCAGTTGCGTCTTGCTTACACGGCCTCTGAGGCCAACACTGCTGATATCTTCACCAAGGCACTTCCACCTTGTGATCATCAGCGGTGCTGTACGATGCTAGGTCTTGTGCCTACTTGGCCTCACTTGCTCACTTTTTGACCTTGCTTGTACTGTGATCTATCTATACCTGCACTTGCTTGTTTACCTTTACATATGATCTTGCATGTGAACTGGCCTTGTGGCATTTGAACTTGTGCTTGGAATGTGTGGTGACGTTGGGATCCACCCTGAGCTTGCTTTGCTTTGCTTGACTGGCCTTGTGACCCCTTGTTATCCCCCACTTTGTCTATGGGGGTGTGTCAGACTTATATGACTTAGCCTATGTAGGCTGTAGTGGGGTAGCACATATGGGGTACAATATTTCTAGGGTTTGTACTTGTACCCAACCCTTGCACTAGTCAATCATTCCTCGTTTCTTAACAGTTTTAAATTCACGCCATCATATTCTCTTTTTTCTGCCCTCTCCAAAGTTGCCACGTGGTCCGTTTTCTGCTTCGGGGGTGCTGCACTGTTCTTGTCCCTCAGCTCCGCACGCTTTTTCTTCATTTTCCAACACGCCAAGAGATGATGTCCTGTAGCGCCGTAAAATCCGCACGTCTTGTTTGTTGCTAGCTGCTGCGTCGCATCGCCCTTGTCGTTCTCCATCGGGTCGGCAGTCGTGGGTGGTGCCGATCGTCCCAAGCCACTATTTGGCTGGTTGAGTCGTGTTCTGTAGTAGCTACTTTTCCACGCGTCTAACTCTTCGATCAGTGGTGCCCAAAACTGCGCCCACGTCCCTTCGCCTTGGACAAATTTGTTGTTAATCCACTCTATTGTTGGGCCTCGTAACAGTGTTGCTGCGAGCCGTATGCGCATTGCGTCTTGGTTGAGGGTCGTGCATCCAACGGCTTCGAAAGGTTTTCTAGTACAGCTACAAAGCGACAGACGTCGCTCCCTCTTGTGCTAGGATCAAACGCCTCTGGTTGCCTCGGCTTCACTGCTTCGAGATTAACTGTAGCTGCTGCCGTTGTCGCAGATGTAATTGCGGTGCCGCCGTCGTTGCTGCTGCTGCTGCTGCTGCGGCTACCGACTGGTTCGCAAGGAGTTTTTCGAGTCGTGGGAGCGCCGTACGTATCTGCTTATGCTCGGCATGTAACTCTGCAATACTCTGTAATAAATTCTCTCTAATTCCCTCCATTTGGCAATTTACAGGAAGATGCGTGACGAAACTAATTGAATTCTGGGTGCTGGTCGACTTACTGAGAGTCGAATTGACTGTAAAATCGACGAGCTCGAATTCTGTATGTTGCGCGTTTCTCCCTAGGTCGAAATTCGCGTCCGATCTCGGCCGTTGAAGAGAAACTCGACCCGACGCTCCAAATTCCAATGTTTTTGGTCGAAATTCTTTGGGCCGTTGAGATTTGAATCGATTTGACGATTGAAATTCCAACTTTTTTGCCAATAAATCTGAGGGGTGTTCAAAAAAAGGATTTAGAAATTGTGCGGTTTTTAAAGGCCGGTTTTAAGCGATTGAAGACCCCGCGTGTAAACCCGCTCTGATACCAAGTGTAAGGATCTGGTTCAGGAAAGATAAATCTATTGAATGGCCCATCTGGGTACAAGGCGAGGCTATATATAGGCTCGACATAAAGGCAATAACTTGGGTGTTACTAGAAGGTTCCGCGGGTCGCGAAGCATCTTGAAAGAGTCCTTCCTGAATTCGGTAGAAGGGAATGTCAACGAGAGTTGTGTTTGGCCCCGTCCTCGCTTGGGCGGAGCCGACCGTGGGAGCCATGAAATTGCGGTGGACCGTGGGAGCCACGAAATCGGGGTGGACCGTGGGAGCCACGAAATCGAGGTGGACCGTGGGAGCCACGAAATCGCGGTGGACCGTGGGAGCCACGAAATCGCGGTGGACCGTGGGAGCCACGAAATCACGGGGGACCGTGGAGCCACGAAATCGCGGGGGACCGTGGATCCACAAAACCGCGGAGGACCGCGGTGGCCGAGAAACCGTGGGAGGACCGCGAAATACCTAGTCAACCAGGATACCCGGGCGACGTGCGCGAAAGTCGCCGGGGATGTTGTCTGCGAGGACGACCTCGGGGGTGGTATCCCGAGGTCGACGTGGCTGGTGGGCGCCGTCACGGGTGAAGTGTCTGCGCTGGGCATGTGACGTGGAGTTGGGCGCCAACCAGCTGCACGCATCTGCGAAGCCGGTGCACCGTTGTCCCGCGGATGCATCGCTGTGCAGCCGACTTACTGCAGCGTTGGCACACCGCGGACGGGCAACGTTGGCAAGCCGCGACTCTGCTCTGCTGGAGCGCGGTCGACCAAGTCGTGCTGGCACGCGGTCGACCGTGCTGCGCTGGCAGTAGACCAGCAGCCTTGGTAGGTCTGATGCAGTCAGTGTTGCCAATGTTGATGCAATGATTCTGAACTTTTGTTGTCATGTTTTCCTAGTGAAACTCTTGCCGATTTTTCCCGTGAACTAGCAAGCAGTGTTAGCACTTGGAAACGACTAAGGAACGAACGAACGCTACGATCACTCTTGCCCCGTGCCTAGCCCGCAGTCTAGCTCCCGCTGCACTAGTTATCTCCGCATGGTGCGGTGAGCGTGGACGACACCGCGACGAAATCTTTGGTTTAGCTGACTTCTCACTCACCTAGCTTGTTCGTAGACCGGCAGCTGTGCGGTAGTCACTATGGTAGGAGCCGTAGGTGACGGAGGGGTGGTGGACACCCTGGAGGCACGGCTGGAGAACGCGAGGAGAAAGCACGAGGCCAATGAGTATGGCGACATCCCCTGGACGGTCGTCGAGGCTGGCATCCGCTCCTTGTGGGCGACGGAGCACCCTCCCTCTCGGCCTGCGTCTCCTCGACCGGTGAACAACGCGGGCAGCGTCGACGCGGACGTCAACAAGGGTGGTGGCCAAGTTGGCAGCAGCGCGGGAGGCACATCGAGGCAGCGAGGTGTGATTCACGCCGATGAAGTCGGTGGCATTCAGGCGTGAGGGATGCAGTCATCCGCGGCTGCAGGGGCCCCGCAAAAACTACGTCGGAGGCAGACGGAGTGAATTGGCGCTGATGTCGGCGACACACGTGACCGCGTCAGGAATTGCGCCGAGCTACGGCTACTTCAAGTTCACGCCGGACAGGATCTCGGTCACCCCTCTGCTGGTCGGATCGTCCCAACATCCTCACGTGGAAGGAAGCCATCGAGCCCCAGCTGGAGATGGCCGGGCTGATGGGCTTCGCTCGCGGGACCGTGGCGACGCCGGAGGAGCACTACCCCGACCTGCGAGCGGAATTTCGCGCCGTGCAGCTGCTGACCTTTACAGTCATTTCGCGGTGCTGCTCGCCGGGCGTACAGATCGCCCTGAAGTCGTGCAGGGAGTACCTCGACGCTGGCCACCGGGCGTGGCATTTCATCGAGTCAACTTACCAGGTCACCGACGACTTGTTCATCTCCTAGCTTGAGGGGCAGTTGACGCACCTGCGTATGGGCGACGAGGAGACCGCGGCTGACTACTGCAATCGAGCTCGGCAAATTCTCGCCACCATTCGGATGGCTGGCGCGGAATACTCAACGGCTTCGTACGTCACGCACGTCCTGCAAGGACTCCCGAGCAGCTACAATCTGCTGAAGCGGCTGTCGATGGCGCCGAGCACGCGGACGACGCTCAACGAGGACACACTGACCTCGTACATCCTGCAGGACGAGGCGATGCAGGAGGCTGAGCGGTCCCAAGAGCTCCTCGCGCAAGTCCATTTCGCGGCCCCCGCGAAGCAAGGTGGTCGCCCGGGACAGCGCGGGCAGTCTGGTGGCAGTTACCGCGGTGGTGGGAAGCCGGCGAAGGACGCTGACAAGCAGAAGTCGTCCAAGGATGGCGGTCGTGGAGGAGGAGGTCGACGTCGGGAATGCTAGCTGTGGCGGTGATCCCGATCACCTCTCCTTCGAGTGCCCCGACCGCAGCGATTCCGACAACGACGACGCGAAGGGAGGCCGCGGAAGTTCTGGCAGCCGTCGTCCGCGTTGAGGAAACCAACCGCGAAAAAAAAAAGCAGTCGACGAAATCGACCTCGGCGAAGGACGCCGACTCTTCCGCGGGTGGCAAAGGGCGAGACGGTAAGGAGGCGTCGTGCTCGCTGGTCGGTATCGTGGAGCCGACTGTCTCGCTGGCGCCGGAAGCTGGCGAGGATTTCCGAGCGGTGGCGGCAGCTGTGCAGGCAAACCCCGCGGTGGTCCTGCTCGACAGTGGCTGCTCGCACCACCTGATGGGGACGAAGGCGGCCTTCGTCGATTTGGGGCCGAGCGGCGACGTGAAACATGTGCGTGGCTTCAATGGGGCGCTGCAGGACGTCCGCGGTCGTGGCACGGTTGCGCTGCAAGGGAAGGCCGGGAAGCGAGTACTCATCTCCAACGTTCTCTACGTCCCAGGGGTGCAAGCGAATCTGCTTTCGGCTGGCCAGCTGAAGGAGAGCGGGGTGACGCTAAAGGATGACTTCGACCGGATGTTGCTCGTCTCCGCGGTGGGGGACGTGCTCGGTCGTGCGACGTACATCGGCCGGGTCCTCTGCACTGACCTACGCCCATTCGCGGTCAAGGCGACGACGCCCGCAAAAGAGGAGGTGGCTCTACGGGCGATAGTCTCGGCGACGAAGGCTACCCCGAACAGGCTGCACGCGAGGCTTGCGCATGTTGGCTTGGATACGATACGGAGCTCGGCGAAGCACGAGGTCGCCACTGGGCTGGACCTCACGTCGGCATCTGGCGCCGACTCACCGTGTGTTTCGTGCGTCGGCGGGAAGTTGGCGCGGCACACCTTCCCCGACCACGGCTCCGAAGCCGACGATGTCCTGGCCGTCGTGCACATCGACTTGTGCGGGCCATTTCGCGTGGCTGCCAAGGACGGAAGCCTGTACTTCTTGCTGCTGAAGGACCGCAAGACCCGATACATGTGGGTGCGGCCGGTCGCCAAGAAGTCGGATGTGCTGCTGGAGTTCCAGACGTGGTTGGTGCTGGTGGAGCGGCAGGCGAAGCATTCGGTGCTGCAACTGCGCTCTGATCGCGGAGGGGAGTTCCTCGGAAAGGACTTCACCGCCTTCGTGGACAGTAGGGGCATTGTCCACGACTTGACCTGCCCCTACACCCCGCAGCAGAATGGCATGGCGGAACGGGAGATAAGGACGGTGGTGGAGTCGGTGCGGACGATGCTGCTGCACATGGGCGTGCAGCACCACTGGTGGCATCTCACTCTGCGGCAGGCCGTCTGGGTTCGCAAATGCCTGGAGCGGTCGACGCTGCCCGCGGGGACGACGCCGTACCAGCTTCTCACCGGGCAGAAGCCCGACCTGTCACTGGCGCGGGTGTGGGGCTGCATGGCACAATTTCTCGTCCCTGAGCAGCAGCGCGGTGGGAAGCTGAAGCCGAAGGCCCGGTGGGGCGGAGGAGAGCAAAGGCTGGGAGCTCCTCGACCTCGCCGACAACCGGGTGGTCACCACGTCGAACGTGGTGTTCTACGAAACTCTGTCGCTGGAGGCGTGGAAGTCGGAATTCGGGCCCGCGTCGGGGCGGACGCGGGCCAACCCGTCGACGGACACCTCGACGGCGACGCTTCCTCTACTTGCCGAGGTTGGTGAGCAGGCTGATGAGGATGTCGCGGTCGCCCCTGCCTCGCCATCTCCTGCCCCTTCTTCCCATTCCCTTCTCGTCGAACTGCGTGGCCTTCCTCCGGTGTCGGCCTCCGGCGATGAGGGGAGTCGTGGGGCGTCGCCTGTGGCGCCGGCCAAGAGCATCGCCGGTGGCCGACGTGACGCCCAGCCAGTCGCGCAGAAGAGGACCGTGGAGGAGAGCGCGAAGAAAACCGGGACGGGCACCGCGAAGGACACCGCGAAAACCGCGAAGGGGACCATGGACGAGACCGCGGACGAGACCGCGGAGGAGATCGCGGATGGGACCGCGAAGGAGCCCACGGAAGAAACCGCGGAGGAGACCGCGAAGCCAACCGCAGAGCAGTTGGCAGGGGAGCTTTTGAACGGGAAGCGCGTTTCAGAGAAGCCGCCGACAGTGGAGCCGTCGAAGGCGGAGCTCGCTTCAGAGGAGCGGACGACAAGGGAGCAGTTCGATGAAGGCACATCGAGCGACGTGGTGGAGGTGCAGCCCGGACCTCGGAAGTCGGGCCAAATTCGGAGGCCACCCGACTTCTTCGTCCCCGCTGCCTTCACCACGGTCTACGATGTGGACGACGACGACCTGGCGTACGATGACGCCGAGGACGATGAGGCGTTTTCGGAGCTCGACCCTGACATGCCCGCCGATCCCGAGCACCGTTGGGACATTTCGATCATGACGGTGAAGGAGGCGTTGGCGAGCTAGAAGGGCCCGGCGGTGAAGGCCGCCATGGAGGAAGAGATTCGTAGCCTCATCAACATGGGCACTTGGGAGCTGATCGAACGCCCGCCGGGGGTGAACATAATGAAGAACCGGTGAGTGCTGACAACGAAGTTCCGCATCGACGACACTGTCGAGTGCGAAAAGGCGAGGCTGGTTGTGAAAGGCTTCACGCAGGTGTATGGCGCTGACTATGACGAGACGTACGCGCCGGTGAATAGCTACGTCACGCTGAGGATTTTCCTCAGCATCGTCGCCATCCTCGACCTCAACCTGATGCAGCTCGACATGAAGAACGCTTTTTTGCAGAGCAAGCTCGACCGCGTGCTGTACATGTACCAGCCGGACTACTTCAACGACGGAACCGGCCGGGTGTGCAAGCTGCTGAAGAGCCTCTATGGGCTGAAGCAGTCGCCGCTGCTGTGGTACACGGTTCTCAACGACGTGTTGGTTGGCACCGGGTGGAAGAAGAGCCAAGTCGACGAGGATCTGTACTTCAAGGCCGGCGACGACAAAGTGACCTGCTGGGTGCTGGTCTACGTCGACGACCTTCTCACCGCGAGCAGCAGCACCGCGATGCTGAAGGAGCTGAAGGAGCTGCTATAGGCCGCTTTCGAGCTACGCGAAATTTCGCCGGTGCAGAAGTATCTCGGCTTGGAGATCATGCGCGACAGGCCGGCGCGAAAACTGTGGCTGCACCAGCAGGGCTACGCCGACAAGGTGCGCAGGCGCTTCATCATCGAGGAGCAGACCGGGCGCACTCCGAAGACGCTGGTCTCCGTCGCCACCTACGCGGAGCAGACATTCGACGCCGAGGAGGCGCAGGAGCGCGAGGAGGAGGAGTACCGGCAGAAGGACGGCTCGCTGCAGTTCGCGGCGACGACGACGAGGCCGGACATTGCATTTGCGTGCAGCAAGCTGGGGAGCGGCCTTACGGTGAGGAGCGACCACCACTGGCGCGAAGTCGACCGCTGTCTCGCCTACCTCGCCAACACGCGAGACACTGCCCTGGAGTACGGCGGTGGTCCGGAGTCACTGGAGTTGGTCGGCTTCGTGGACGCCGATGACACGGGCGACAAGCAGAACCGAACGAGCACGGGCGGCTACGTGTTCGTCTACGGAGGGGCCGCGGTCTCCTGGTCGAGCCTGCGCATCAAGTGCGCGACGCTCTCGTCGACCGAGTCGGAGTAACGTGGTGGGCGTCAAAGCCGGCAAGGAGGGACGTCGCCTTCGCTTCCTCCTCGCGGAGTTCTAGCGCCTGAACGCCGGAAAGCCGACTGTCCTCAGGGTGGACAACAAGTCGGCCATCACGGTCGGCGAGGGCATGGGGTTGACGGGGCAACCTCAAGCACATGGAACGGCGACAGGCCTGGCTGCAGCACATGGTGAAGCGTGGGAAGTTTTCACTGAAGTACATCCCGACCGCTGAGCAGCCGGTCGACTTCCCTGACGAAGGCGCTGCACTAACCCGTCCTTCAACCGGTGCTCCGTTGCAATCGGCCAAGTGCGCCTGGCCGATGTGGGCGACGGAGACAACGACGTGCAGCAGTAGGTGCCATGCCCTTTTGCATGGCTGGTGCGGTGACCGGCGTGCTATGCGTTGTGTGCACGCTAACGGGTTATTCTCCGAGCAGTACTGCCGTGTGGGCCCGGGGGGGGGGGGGGGGGGGGGGGGGGGGGGGGGGGGGGGGGGGGGGGGGGGGGGGGGGGGGGGGGGGGGGGGGGGGGGGGGGGGGGGGGGGGGGGGGGGGGGGGGGGGGGGGGGGGGGGGGGGGGGGGGGGGGGGGGGGGGGGGGGGGGGGGGGGGGGGGGGGGGGGGGGGGGGGGGGGGGGGGGGGGGGGGGGGGGGGGGGGGGGGGGTGGGGGGGGGGGGGGGGGGGGGGGGGGGGGGGGGGGGGGGGGGGGGGGGGGGGGGGGGGGGGGGGGGGGGGGGGGGGGGGGGGGGGGGGGGGGGGGGGGGGGGGGGGGGGGGGGGGGGGGGGGGGGGGGGGGGTGGGGGGGGGGGGGGGGGGGGGGGGGGGGGGGGGGGGGGGGGGGGGGGGGGGGGGGGGGGGGGGGGGGGGGGGGGGGGGGGGGGGGGGGGGGGGGGGGGGGGGGGGGGGGGGGGGAGGGGGAGGGGGGGGGGGGGGGGGGGGGGGGGGGGGGGGGGGGGGGGGGGGGGGGGGGGGGGGGGGGGTGGGGGGGGGGGGGGGGGGGGGGGGTAGGGGGGGGGGGGGGGGGGGGGGGGGGGGGGGGGGGGGGGGGGGGGGGGGGGGGGGGGGGTGGGGGGGGGGGGGGGGGGGGGGGGGGGGGGGGGGGGGGGGGGTGGGGGGG